CCTCCTCCTCCTCCTCCTCCTCCTCCTCCTCCTCCTCCTCCTCCTCGTCCTCCTCCAGGGCAACGGATCTCGTCGCCACGGCTGGATCCGCCGGATCCGCTTCGAACAGCGGGCAGTGTCCGTGGATCGATCGTGAGAGGACTTCGGCCGTGCGGGAGAGCTGCCGTTCTCTCGGCTTGCCCTCCGGGGCTCGGTCGGGCGTTTGCAGCAGGACGGGTGTGGCGCGATGATGCCGACGACCTTCAGGTCGGGCGTGTCCCCCTGCAGGTGGATGTTGGACGAAAAAATAGTCAGGCAGTGCAAGAATAGTCAAAACTGCTCCAAACAAATAGGCAAACATAGTCAAACGTATTCCTCCTGTCGAGGGACAGGCCCGGTTTAACACGACCTCTCGGTTCGCAGAGGCTCGATCGGGCCGCCGTAGAGGGTGAGGGGCCCGATCGGGAGCTCGCCAGAGCGAGGGGGGCGCGACGAGACCGAGGAGAGCTGTCGAGCCGCAGAGGCTCGATCGAGGGAGAAGGCCTCGATCAGGCGCTCGCGAGAAGAGAAGAGGGGGGGGGGGCTTCAGCGGGAGCTCGCAGACGGCAAGGGGGGCGCGAAAGCGGCAGCCGGGGAAGTCGAATCGGCGGGAGGGCCAGTAGGCCTCCAGAACAAAATCGGAATCCAAATCGGAGATCCAAGTCGAATCGAATCGGAAGCGAAAGCCGTCGAAGTCGAAGTCGAATCGAATCGGAGGAGTCGAAACGCGGCCTGGACGGGGGAGGCGGGCTCGATCGGGCGCTCGCGGGAGGGGCGGCGCGACCCGGCGCCTCGCAGGCAGGGAGGGCGCGAGGAGCCCGGAGAGGCCTCGATCCGCAGCGGCTCGATCGGGCGCTCGCAGGAAGGGGGGGGGGGCCTCGGCCGGGCGCTCGCGGGAAGGCGGACAGGAGGAGGCCTCGATGCGGTGGGGGGGGGGGCTCGATCGGGCGTCCGTTGGGGGGGGGGGGGGGTTCATCGGCCGGGCGCCCTCGCAGGAAGGAGGGCAGGAGGGGGGCTGCTCGAGCGGTGGGGGGGGGGGGCTCGATCGGGGTCCGTTGGGGGGGGGGGGGGGGGTTCTCGGCCGGGCGCTCGCAGGAAGGAGGGCAGGAGGGGGCTCGAACGAGGGGGGGGGGCGCTCGATCGGGCGGTGGCAGAGGGGGGGGCTCCGTCGGGCGCTCGTGACGGGGGGCGGGGCGCCATTGCGCTGTGGTTGAATCTGCCTGGCTCCAGGAAGTGTCGACCGACCTCCAGATTCGAGCCCCGGCGGCGCTCAACGAATGCATGCATGCATGCATGCATGCATGCATGCGCATACCTGTCTACAGCAAAGGCTGCGACGAGCTGTTCGCAGTCACGCACCGCCCGACGTGGCAACGATGCTAATCTCAAATGTGATTGAACAACTTGGGCTGGAAGCACCCGCCGCTGGATGGATGTGCCCACTTACCACCTTGGGCTAACCCGCCCTCCACGACCCCCGATTCGAGGTTTGAGGTTCCCGGTCCGCTGGCTGAGGCTCCAGCATCGAAGTTTCTTCGGGAGCGTTCTCTTGGACCCCAGGGCCCCCCGGAGGCCTCAGGGGTACTTGCCAGGACGCTTCCCTGGAGCGCTCGAAGGTACCTGCCAGGACCTCTCAGGAGGAGGAGGAGGACCCAGACCCCCGACGTCATGATTTGTTCATGACGTCGACCCCCAGAAATCTGGACCCCTTCCCCAGGACCGGTTTTGCATCCTGAGTCAGTTTTTGACGCTCCCGAGGCCCAGTAGGGGCACCCGGAGGCCGAAAATAGCGAAAAACCTCACGTCGTGATTTTTCTTTCACAACGCGAGGGGGTCTGGGGAGGAAGAGAATCGAGGAGGAACGAGGATCGAGGAGGAGGATCGAGGATCGAGGAGGATTCTCCCCTCGAGCGCCCGGGTGCCCGAACGCACCTGCCGGGAAGCATCCCTGGGGCGCCCGGAGTTACCTGCCAGGACGCTCCCCTTGCAGCGCCCGAAAGCATCCCGGGGACCACCGGGGACCTCAGGAGAGCCCGCGAGGACGCTCGAGAGTACTCGGGGGCCCCGGACCCCCTCGGGCAGTGGAAAAATCATGACGGAATGTTTTTCTTCCTTTTCGGCCTCTCGAGGCTCTTTCCGGCCCTCGGGCGCGTCAAAAAAACGACTCAGGGTGAACAGCCGGTCCCTGAGAGGGGGGCGAACCGGCCCTCGGGAGCGTCAAAAAACGACTCGGTATGAAAAGCGAGACCTCTGAGGGTCGACGTTAATGAAAAATTCATTACGTCGGGGGTCTGGGGCGCGGGGACGAGGAAGGTAAAGGCCCTCGTATCAGGTCATCTTGCCCCGCCCTGGGGCCCTCGTGCATCGCGCAGGCTTAGGGTTAGGTCGGGCACGTCCCCCTACAGGCGGATTTCGGGCGAAAAATTTAAAACATTCTACATATTCCCAAAGTCAAAAAATACAGAAAAAATCGTCCCAAGACTAGTTTTTGACTATCTTTGAACATTCCTTGTGTAGAAGGGCACGCCCGACTTAAGCTTAGGGAAGCGGGTCAGAATGGTGTCTGGGAGGCGCCCAGGGACAGGTAAACGTACGCTTTCGAAGGTCTGCGCGGATTCTCTGGATCGGCGCTTGGCGCCACTCTCTGGCGTCCAACGCCGAAATCCGAGACGACACTCGAAAGCTTACGGTTAGGAACTTTTGCTGAGCGTGTCGCGGCAGCGGCAATGGCGACACGCTATGCCCTCTAAGCGGATTGCGTGTCGCCCCGCGGAGCGGGAGGTTCGGAAAGGCTCGGGACATTGACGCTCGGGGTCTGGAAAGAAATTCGCGTGTCGCTCCGAAGCGTGCTGGGCCAACATCGGCAGCGCGACACGCCAAGCCAAGCCAAAGTTCCCGGTAGGTTTATGCCGACAGGTCTTCATGGATTGAGGGCAGGCACTGTAGGCGGCCCTTGCTGCTGAACGACCAGCTGCAGTTCGGGCTGCAGCTGTGCGAAAACTTCGAGCCCAGGACGAAGATGCCGGTGAAGCCCGCATCTCGGCGCCCACGGCAGGAGGACGTCAACGACGGCAAATTCACGTCGCGATGGCGTGGGCGTAAATCTCTGACACCACGTGGATAACCGGAGGAAGCGATGATCGATCCCCCTTTATCCGTAGTCCTTAAGTTGAGAAATTCATTCCCGAAGGGCGGGGAACTGCCGAGCGATGTCGTTAGCACCACGATGACTTAATTGACGAACTAACTCCGCGGAAGGGCGGCGGGAGAAAGATGGGCAAGACAGCCCCAGAGAGGCCACCCAGGCGGCCTCTTCGGAGGAAAGAGCCACCGCCGACGGGAGAGTCCCATGGTGGAGTCCTATGGGGGAGTGCTAGTGGGATCCGGTCCTGCTGGGAACCTCTTCGAACCCTACCAGAATCCGCCTGCCGATGCCGGACAACTGGCGACTGGCGGCGTTCAACCTGGAACGCCCGCCCTGGTGTCGCCACGGCGTCAACACGGCGCGAGCTTGCCGTACACGCCTACACCGATCCTGGCTTGGCCGACCATTGCGACCGCCATTATCGCTCTGCCTTTTCGCTCTCATGAATTGGCCAGGGGATGCCCCCGCCACCGTCGTTGTCGTCGTCGTCGTCGTCGCCTCCGTCCGTCGTCGTCGCCTCGTCCGTCGTCGTCATAGACGCCCCAGACGCAGCTGGTGCTCATCGCTGAGACTTCCGCGCTGGACCCCCTGGGGGCGTGCCGGATCTCATCTGCGAAGCGGCCCCTCCAAAGGACGTGCACCCGCTCCGAGTTGGAACCAAGCTGCGTTGGGAGGCTTCGTCCTGCACGGGGAAGCGACGGTGAAGAGAATGGACACCCGCACCAAGTTGGAAGAAAGCTGCGCTAGGGAGCTCCGTTTTGCACAGGGAAGTGACGCTGAAGAGAGTCACCCGATGCGCCAGACCCTGACATCTGCGAATCGGACTGGATGTTGCCAATCCGCGGTCCCAAATGTCCCGACAGCTCCCAAGGAACGTTTCTGATGGCCCCAAGGGCCCCCAGGGCCTCCCCAGGGGCCGAAATCGAAGGGAAACTGCGGGTGGACGAAAATCATATGCTCGGAGATCTGAGGACGATGCCAAGAAACTTCCGCCGAGCGACCTACGCCAGGCCTCGCGGGGCGCCGCCGCCGACGTCGCCGTCGTCGTCGCCGCCGTCATTGTTGTTGGTGGTGGTCGTCGGAAATCTTCACAATCAGATCACCGGAAATGAAGAGAAGAAGGAGGAGGAGGAGGAGGAGGAGGAGGAGGAGGAGAAGGAGGAGGAGGAGGAGGAGGAGGAGGAGGAGGAGCGAGCACATAGAGCAACGCGCCGAGTCGAGGACGGGACGGACAGGAGCGAAGGAAAAAGGCGAGAACGCACAATCGCACACACAGAAAGGGAAGGCCACCGCGCGATTGCCCAGCCAGAGCATCACGGCAGCGGGGCGCCCCTCCCTCACCGACCAGGACGTCCTGGTCAGGACAAACATGGATGTCTGGAGGGGGCGACGGATAATCAGCCACTCCAGGCGAGAGGTTAAAACACCAAACAAGTTGCCACATAGAATTATGAAGGCAAATTTGATAACAATCCTAACCATTGTACCGCGGGATCCGTGACTAAGAGCCTGCGGGGGGTCGGGATTGGGTGCTTTCGGCCAGCCCTGGGATGACGGCACGAAGCGAAATTATCTCTGCGCCACTTTCGCTGAAGGTTATCTTGCAGCGAGCTGGGATCACAATCATCATATAGCTGTGAGCTCGCAGGCCTCTCTGAGAAGGACCCACACACCGTGCATCCAATTAGTTCGCCAGCTCTATATAAGATATGGCCTCGCGCAGCTTCGGGCGGAACGGGACCCTCGGTGGGGAGCGCCCTGCTGGGGAGGGAAGCGCTGGCCCTCCCAGGGGCGGCCGATCTGGGGCGCCTCTTCGAGCCAGACTCAACGCAGTCGACGGCCTGGCGCAGGGCGCATTGAGGCCTGCTCGGGATGTTTACCCTGGGCCTAACCTGCCTTATAGAAGCCTCCGCCACCTCCTCCACGGGCCTGGCCAGGATCCTGGGCCTGGGCTCGGGGTGAAGGGGAGGGGGGGGGGGGGGGGGCGGAGGAGCAACCACCAGGGAGTCCGAGGAGGGGCCAAGAGGAGAGGGCACAACCGAGGTGAGGTCCCGTCTGGGACGCACAGCACGATTATCTTGCACCTCTTCTTCCGCGGCCCTCTTGGCTTCCTGGGGCCCTTCAAGGCTTGACGGCACCTCTGGGGGGGGGGGCGGAGCTAAAACAACGCAGCAAATCTGCTGGGCGAGCCTCCTACGTCCAAATGCCGTTCGCGCGAAGCGCGTGCAATGGATACATTTCCACAAAGAACCAGCACGCACAATCTCATGCAGCCGCTCATGTGACGTCGGCTGCGGGAGCTGCCGCCTCGGCCGTGGACGCCGCACTCGTTGGTCCCGTCGAGGCCGTCGAGCTGGTGGAGGAGCTCGATCAGGGGCAGCTGCTTCCATCAAACTCTGTGAATTCCCAATCCATGATGCGATCTGTCGGATTCCATCCCGCAGCTCAGCGCGTAGCTCACGAGCGTGGGTCGGCACATCATGTTTGTCCAACCCCCTCTTCGCAGCCAGATCAGCATATCTGTTGCCCTTCTTCTCTTCCTGGTCGGAGGTGGTGAGGGCATCCTTCTGGGTTCGATGGCCTTTCACGTATTCTATCGTCAGCAGATCCGAAAAGGCCGCCCTGGTCCTCCGGTGCGTGCCAGAGGGCACGCCACAGGTCCACATTGGGCCGCCTGGCGTGCAAGCGCCAACTCCTGCCGTTGTTGATGCCGTCGGTCGTCGTCATACAGCCCGTGTGAATGTGTATCGGGAAGATTCCATTTCTGAGAGTCAAGATAACTGCCATCATCTCCGCTCTGGGCACCGACTGTTGGGCTCCAGGAAGTGGCCCGTAAGCAAGTCCTAACAGCTGGCGCCCTCTCATCACCGCAATGCCCCAGCCTGCCCTAGATGCTTCTGGCCATCCCAAAGTGCGACCAGCTCCATCTGTATATATTTCTCCCGTGATCGTGGCATCGCGGCCGCCGTAGTCATAATACCACTTCTCACGCATGCAGACTGGAGGCAAGCTGGGCAAAACACCTCGATGTAGGAGACCTCGTGTATATAACATATCATTGTCTGGGGCTGCTCGTGCTGCTTCGATTATGTGCTGGTCCACGGCCTGCTCCCTCACGTCGTCCAAGTTCGGGCAACGCCAAAGACGATGATGAAGTGTGCCTGGGCAGTTCTGACAAAACATGCATTCTCCATTTCCAGCATACCCGTGTTTGTGTAGCCTCGCCTGAGACCACTGGCCACCGATGACGGTCGGTCTGAGCGCACATCGAGCCCTGGGCGATAGCTTCCAGCGACGAGCCTGTTCCTTCGGCGCAAGGAGCATCTGCAAAGGGTTCATCCAGTAGCCGCTCGGACTTCTCGTTGGTGCTGTTGTCTCGGGAGCGCGGTCTTTACGGCGAGCCCATTCTTCCCATTTCATATTGATGAAAGACCTGCGCGCCAGGGTGCGGATCCAGTCTGGCGAATCGTCGGTCAGGTCCAGCTGGATGCCGTTCGCCGTGGTCCACTCGAAAGGTGAATGCGCTCTCCACTTCAATTGGGCCAATATCTTCCATACCGCACCTGCAGGACCTGAAACAGCTGCCGACTTTGGATCATTACACAGATCCTGCTGCTGTTGGACGAAAGCCTGGCGTAGCACTTCACGTGGTACCGAAGAGGCTGCCGCCATCTGAGCCCACGTGTAGAGCGGCCCCGCAGCTGCAGTATCTCTGGATGTTGATCCCTCCGAGGTTCCAGCTGAGACGCGAGCCATGTCGAAGTTGCAGACGGCGTGCGACCCCAGCCAATCCTGACCATCCTAATCATGGCCGCGATCATGGTCTTGGTGGCCCCAATCACCTGGACCCCGTACAAGAGGGCAGGGCCTATGCAAGGCTGTGCAACTGCTCTGCCAACCCGTGCCATGGCGCACAACCATTTGAAGCGTGGGAGCCTGGCCTTCGTCCTTGTCATTCGCTTCCTGATAGCGCTATGACGAAGCTTTGCCCCACCGCGGTCCTCCATGCCCAAAATCTCCAATGCAGAACACGCTCGGAAACCATGTCGTCGGACTTGTCTGGCTACCTGCTGGGCGACGCCTGGCGACGAGGCGATGATCTTAGCCTTGTCCGAAGCTATGGGAAGGTCCAGCGCGTCCAGTACCGCCGCCAACCTCTGGATGATGCGCACCGATGCCTCAACGATATCCTGCGACTTGGCGACAACCTGGAGCGTGATATCGTCTGCATATATATATATATATATATATCCAAAGAATGATGCGCCTCGTCCAGCGCGACAGACTTCTCGAACACATCGAAGGGTAGCATCATGACCAACTGAAGCATAAACATGGCCACAGAGCAGCCAGGGATAATGCCTCATTGCACTTGGACCGCGCAACTGTAGGTCGAATCCCAACGAATGCGCCTCGGAGCGTGGTACATCGCCAGGCATAGCTTAAGCAACGGCGTCGGAAAGTCGAGCTGAGCAGCAGCCCGCAGCACCCTTCCCCAGCAGACGCGGTCAAAAAAATGGCTGATATCCACCAACGCAATGAGAATTGACTTGGACTGTGAACCTGCATTGGCCTCAGCATAGAGCAACGTCCTGGCGCCTACATCCAGTGTCGATCTGCCTTCGCCGAGGGCGAAGTAAGGGCGGTTGCGACGGGCAGTCCAAGATCGCACGTGTCCCATTCGCAGCTTGGTGTATACACGATAAATCGACGGCAGCAGGGCGATCGGCCTGAACCCCCCTGGGGCTTGGCCAAAATCATTGCGTGGGTCACTAGCATGTTGGTTGACCATCTCGCCCGCGATTCTGCCGCCCAGAAAAGATAGAGCAACATTGTCAATGCAGAATCTGACAGCAACGCCCAAACCCTGGGAGGTAATGCATCATGCCCAAG